CGGCTGGAAGTGAAGTCGCGACCGCTGCTCCAGCAGCTCCCGGTGTCCCCACGTCACGCCGTTGCCATGGTTGGGGAGGAGGAGAGGGAGGAAGTCCAGTCGGGGGGACAAAGCAGCTTGTCGGGAGATGTAGTTTCACATCGGGTGTGTCTGCTTGGGAAGCGCTGAGATGCAGCCAGGATTTTCCGTAGAAGCGAGAGGCGGAGACTTCCACTCGTCGTCCCTACGCGTTACCAGGAAGGGTCAGTCCTCGGAAAGGGACATCGTGCTGGGTGGAGGGTCAGCGTTGAGGGGGAGACCCTCGACTTGCACCCCCCATTGACGGAGTGACCGCCGCAGTGACTCAAACAGCAGAGATTGAGAGGATGGCGCAGGACCGGGCAGGCAGTGTTTCATTCGGTTGTACCAACAACCGTAAGAGATGTCCCGGTGGGACGTCCTCGCCAGGCCAACTCTGGCTAGTCTGTGGTCGTGAGACCGGATGCACAGGCCCAGAGGCGACTTCATGGGCTGGCTGTTCAGTGTCCGGTCATCCTCTAAACTAACAGCCTTCGTCACATTCATCACAGCGCAATTCATCGTTGTAGACCCTACCTACAGTGTTTACGCTCGACATCTTTGCCAGAGGACTAAGACTTTGTACAGTTTTCTCTCTTAAGATCAGAGGGAAGAAACTGATGTGGGAGGAATGGGAGTGATCATAAGGGGAGAGAACTCTCTTTCTCTGGAAAACTGTGCATGGGATGAACGGGGCGGCCCCTTGGGCAGGAACTTAGGCAACGCACTATTTTTCTATTGTTTCCCCGCCCCGCTACAAGGAGAAAATAAAATTGCTCTTGATCAAATTGGGGGGGAGAAGACATATAAAAAGAGGAGCCGGGGACCAGCACTGACCGATCCGGGATCTGTGGTTGTTGGGTGCCCCGGAGTCCTTTTTGACAGGTCTCCCACAGAACCGCAGAAGAACCGGTGCATTTGAATCGCGGGTGCTGGAGAAGAACATAGAAGGTACCATCAGCTGCTCAAAAGGACAAGCCAAGCTGTTGGAAGAAGAACAGCCAGAGAGCTCCTTAGAGGTGAGAACGGCAAGTCTGTCTTACATATGGTGGACGTGTTGTCAGGAGAGACCAGTCCCTGGAGAAGGACATCATGCTTGGTAAAATGGAGGGGCAGCGAAGGCTCTCAAGGAGATGGATTGACACAGTGGCTTCCACAGTGGGCACAGGCATAGGGACAATTGTACGATGGCCCAGGACCGTGCAGTGTTTTGGTCTGTGGCACAGTGTGCGTGTGTCGCTCCAGGCTATGGGTCTGAGCCAACGCCACAGCACCTAACCACCACCACTCACAGAACCACTGAGTGGGTTCAAACCGCCAGCCTTCTTGTTTGCAGATGAATCGTTATACGCCATCTCTTCTACTCCTCCATAGCACGTGCTCCTAGCTCAAGAAGTATTGACCTTTCCTTCGGTCCTATTTTCTTCTCCCTACTACTGAGCAGTTAGGAAGCCCCAAGACAGAAAATGACCTCCCTTCTTTTGCTCTCCTATCTCTTCTTTCGCCCTCAGCATGTCTGGGAGGGTATGTCAGACCTGTTCCCTCCCACCACCATCACCAGAGTAGCTTATTGCCTTCCAAGTCAAAGGCGCTCATCTGAAGTACATGTCACCTTGAGGGACAGACTGATTCTCCCCACCCCCACTCTCTTGGCCGGCCCTACCCCCTTCGGACTAAAGGCTCACACATGTAAGACAGCTGCTTCATGGAGACTATGGACCTGGCTGGGTAAAAGAGGGATTAACTGGGATCCAGGACCAAACTGTGACCTCATTAACCCTCTACCTTAACCGAGTTAACTGCTGCAGAATCCCCAAGGGACAATCAGCCTGCTGAGCCAATTGGCTTGTTGTCCCCATAATTAATTAGATGAGCTAATTACTGCCATTTAAATCTTTCCCAGTTCATATCCTGTGCTTGAAATAATCAGTGTCCTGGCACTCCCCTGCCATTCTACGTCCATGTTGTCCTTCCAAGTACTCATTGGAAGCACCCCTCCTGCAGGAAGACATCCTGAACGAAATCCATGGCCTACTGTGCTGTGCTTCACATCTTTGCAAAAGGGCTACGACTTTGCATAGTTTTTACATATCACTGGAAAGAAACCGATGTGCACGGGGAGAGTTGTCCTACGGGGAGAGAACTACCTAACTCAAATTACTCTGGACACACACAATGCTGCATAACTAGGCTGTAGCCTCGATTTTCTAGCTATCCCAAGTGGATATGTCTATACTTCTACTAGCTGACAAGTTTCACAAAGATGGTGGCAGTGGTGATGCTGTCAAGTAAATGTTGACTTATCATGGCAACCCCCCCATGTGACAGAGGTGAAAACCAGAGGGTTTTCTAGACTGTCATTTTATGAGAGCAGACATTCTTTCTCCCACCCGAGTTGCTGGGTGGGTTCAAACTTTGCTACCAAAGACATCCTTCATTTGTTGTTGTTTTTTAACGTCCTTAATTCTTGTTCCTGATCATTAACAAATCAGTCACAATAATTAGTTCTCAGTCCACAAGATAAACCAGTGGCCTTCTAGCTCAGAAGCAACAAAACAACACCAGCCTGTGTGATCACGAGGTGCCGAAGGGATCAGTTATCAGGCATCAAAGAACTAAAAATTATATTATTGTGTGCTCACCTCCCTGATATGATTGCTGAAGACAAACGGATGTATAAGTAAATGTGGTGAAGAAAGCTGATGGTGCCCGGCTATCAAAAGGTATAGTGTCTGGGGTCTCAAAGGCTTGAAGATAAACAAGCGGCCATCTAGCTGAGAAGCAACAAAGCCCACATGGAAGAAGCATACCAGCCTATGTGATCACGAGGTGTCCAAGGGATCAGGTATCAGGCATCAAAGAACAAAAAATCATATCATTGTGAGTGAGGGGGAGTGCGGAGTGGGGACCCAAAGCCCATCTGTAGACAACTGGACATCCCCGTACAGAAGGGTCACAAGCCAGTCAGGGTGCAGTGAAGCAACGATGAAACCTACAACTTTCCTCTAGTTCCTAAATGCTTCCTCCCCTCTGCCCCCCCACTATCATGATCATAATTCTACCTTACAAATCTGGCTAGACCAGAGGATGTATATTGGTACAGATAGGAACTGGAAACACAGGGAATCCAGGATGGATGATCCCTTCAGGACCAGCAGTGAGAGTGGTGATACCAAGAGGGTGACGGTAGGGTGGGGTGGAAAGGGGGAACCGATTACAGGAATCTACATATAACCTAATCCCTGAGGAACAGACAACAGAAAAGCGGGTGAAGGGAGACGTCGGACAGTATAAGATATGACAAAATAATAATTTATAAACTATCAAGGGTTCATGAGGAAAGGGGGAGCGGGGAGGGAGGGGAAAAATGAAGCGCTGATGCCAGGGGCTTAGGTGAAGAGCAAATGTTTTGAGAATGATGAAGGCAATGAATGTACAAATGTGCTTGACACAATGGGTGGATTGTGATAAGAGTTGTATGAGCCCCTAATAAAATGATTTTTTTTTAATTAGTCGTCAGTCCACATTGGTGGAACATGAAAACAGGCTGGAAACAGGCAAGTGTCTGTCTGGAATTACCCCAATATGAAAATAAATGCTGCAGTTGAATCCAGTGGGCAGTCTGCAAATAAGTGCTTTGCCACCAATTCCAGCCAGAATTCCTGTTGTGGTTTTCCCTGTGCCCTGGAAGTATGTGATCCCTACATATCATATCTCTTTCTTTCCCTGCTGGAAAATCATCTTTCTGTGTGCTGAATCATATTAAAAATAACTCTTGTAGCCCTTCCTCCTCTGCCCAGCTGCCCAGAAAACCTGGCTGGCAACCTCCTTGTTCACCTCCATCCTTGTGCCAGACTCGGGCACGTGACCCAAACTCAACCCCTGACCAGTTCCTCAGGTTACCAAGAGCTATTTTTGGCAATAGAGTTCATGTATTCCCCTCCTCCTCATCCTCTGGGCCATACCCCAGCTTAGTCCTCCGGTAAGACCCACCAGACCCAATAGTGGCTGGCGTCCCCCAACATGTCCAACAGCTGGTCCCCAGCTACATTCAGTTCCGACTTCATCACCATCCTCGCTCATCATCCCATATGAAGTGCCCTGTTCTGCTAGAACTACAAAGTTCCCATGTCCTGTTCTGCTAGAACTGCAAAGAACTTAAGATCTACCTTGGCCTTGGTGGGGACTCTTTCCTTCAAACAAAAAAAAAATCATTTACACTCATGTTGGGTAGTAAAAAGGGAAGATGAACTTCTACTAGTAACTTTAAATTTGTTCTGAAAATACCGGACACCTGTGTGTCATGAAGATGGACAAGAAGAAACAAAGGCGTGCAGTTGAAAGCAGACTGCAGTGGTGTACACGAAGTCGGTGGTCAGGAGCCCTGACCAAAGAGAAAGGGCCTGCATGGAGCATGGTGGAGTCGTTGCAGTGGGGAGCCCAAGTGAGCTGCTAGCTGCAAGGTTTAGACATTGGAACCCACCAGCTGCCCTATGGGAGAAAGATGCGACTGTCCACCTCCATAAAGATTACAGTCTCCGGACCGTCAAGGGCAGTTTTATTCTGTCCTGTAAGGTAGCTGTGCAGTAGAATCGGCTCCATGGCAGTGAGTAGAGAAGAGAGGAGAGTCTGTTAACTTAGCAAGTCTCCCTGGGAGAACTGAGCTTTTAAGCAGCATGTTTTCATTTATGTTCTTGAATATTTTATTTTATTGCTGTTCTTCTTGAGAATATATCTTTAATTCCATTTTCCACAAATTTTGGTAAGCCCCCTTGTACACAGCAAAAACCCAGTTCCCAGTTCTACTGTACAGTCCAGTACAGTAGAGGCCTTCCCTTCTCCACCCCGCCCCCCCCAGCCTTGAATACAGTCTCTTGAGTTGTACAACCACTTTCATTCCTCCTTTGTTGAGTTGTTCCTCCATCATTAATATGAATTCACTGACATTGAAGTTCCTAGTAAGCACTATTTCTAATATAGTAAAAATTCTAAAAGGTATATATTGTGAGGTACCCTCAACCCCTCCCCCTTCAAAAACCCTCTCTACCACTGAGTCAGTCCTGACTGGTCTTGACCCTGTAAGACAGGTCGATCGGCCCTGTGGGCTTCAGGTGTTTTCTGTTCCTAGTGACCACATGTGACAGCGGAGAACTGCCATGGAGCCTTCTAGTGGGAGGAAAGGTCTGGTGCCCTAGTCCCACCAAGATAACCGCCAAGGAAGTCTTGAGGCAATTCTCCTGTCACGTCGGGTCACTGGGAGTCTGTCACAACAGTCTTTATCAGAGCATTGATAACGATTGGCCAATCTTCCTCAGTGCCAGCTCTTGTTCCCACGTAACTTCTGGGCGAGTTCAAGCTGCCAATGTTCCAGTTAGCCGGCAGGTGTTTAACCATTGAGCCACCAGGTTCCTTAAAGAGTGTATAAAAACCACCGCCACTCAGCTGACTCTGACCCAGGATGCTTCTATCGGACAGAGTATATAACGACTCCAGCAGGTTTCCAAGGTTATAAATCTCCAGAGGTCAACAGCCTCATCGTTCTCCCTTTCCCTCAGAGTTGCTGCTAAGTTTGAACCGTCTACCTTGCAGTTAGCAGCCCAATGCCTTATCCACAGCTCCATTAGTGCTTTTTCCCCCCAATCATTTATTAGGGGCTCGTACAACTCATCACAATCCATCCATCCATCCATTGTGTCAAGCATGTTTGTACATTTGTCATCATTTTCAAAACATGTTCTACTTGATCCCTTAGAATCAGCCCCTCGGTTTCCCCTACCCTCCCTCACGAACCCTTGATAATTTATAAATTATTGTTTTCATGTCCTACACCGATGGCTGTCTCCCTTCACCCACTTTCTGTTGTTCATCCTCTGGAAGGGGGTTATATGTAGATCCTTGTGATCGGTTCCCCCTTTCCCTGCACACTCCTGGTCTCGATATTACTCTCAATATTGGTCATGAGGGGTTCATCTGACCCGGATTCGTGTTTCCAGGTCTTAGCTGTGCATGTGTACATGTTCTGGTCTAGCCGGATTTGCAAGGTAAAATTGGGTTCATGGTACTTGGGGGAGGGGGTCATTAAAGAACTAGAGGAAAGTTGTATGTTTCAACAGTGCTATATCGTACCCTGACTAGTCTCTTCCTTCTGGCATTTCTGTAAGAGGGTGTCCAATTTTCTGCAGATGGGCTTTGGGTCTCCACTCTGCACTCCCTCATTCACAATATTATTTTTTTGTTCTTTGACGCCTGATACCTGATCCCTTCGACACCTCGCGATCACACAGGCTGGTGTGCTTCTTCCATGTGGGCTTTGTTGCTTCTCAGCTAGATGGCCACTTGTTTATCTTCAAGCCTTTAAGACCCCAGATGCTGTATTTTTTGATAGCCAGGCATCATCAGCTTTCTTCACATTTGCTTATGTACCCGCTTGGTCTTCAGTGATCTTGTTGGGAAGGTGAGTATCCTAGAATACCAGGTAATTAGAACAAAGTGTTCTTGCATTGAGGGAGTACTTGAGGCCCAATGTCTGTCTGCTACCTTAATCCTAAACGTATAAATATATGTACATAGATCTATTCTCTATTGTTATATATAGTAACAATGTATATACTTGTATGTAGATCTCTGTAAATGCCCTTTGCCTCCTAGTTCTTTGCTCTATTTCCTTTTACTTTCCTTTTGTCCCACTCTCGTGTTCGTCCTTCATCTGGTCTTCAGTACTGAAACACAAGTGTTCTTTTTTTAATGTTTATTTTTTTAATCATTTTATTGGGGGCTCCCACAACTCTCATCACAATCCACACAGGTGCTCTTTTAAAGGGTGTATGCCAAACCAATTCTACTGCCATCCTGTCCGTTGACTGTGTTTCCAGAGATGGAATGTTTGCTGGAGCCGAACTGTCTTAACCTTCCTTCTAGGGGCTGGTGTGTACGAACTGCCAACCATTCCGTTTGCAGGCCAACCCTCAGCCCACTGCACCCATCAGGCCTCCTTCATGGAGTGATGGCGGTTTAGAAAACTGAAGCTACAGTGACTGTCGGGTAGCTTGAAGGCCGCTTCTTGGGACCGCTCTCTGCAGCTTGAGTGCTATTGCCATTTCCTTCCTATCCGACTCATGTCACCTGCAGTGGCGGAGACACATGCCTCCCTCGGGCCCAGGTCATCGGAATGCCCGGATCCGCACTTCCAGTCTCCCCTGGGCTGAGGGCGACGTGGGGAGTATGGAAGGGTCGAGGGCAGAATCGCTCGGGCAAGGTGGGTTGCTGCTGGTGTAGGAGGTGCCTCGGAGCCAAGGCCAGGTTGCCGCTGGAGTGCCGAGCGGGACCCCGGGGCGTTCGGACAGAGGCGGAGAGCGCCCGGCGATGGACTTGGGGAGCCGCAGAGCCCGTGCAAGAGGTGCCAGGCGCCGGAAAGAGTCGTCGCCAGGGTGGGGCTGGGGCACTGCGGTCCGGCCGCCC